CTCTATGGTAGTTCCTTGTCCCTCTTGACCTGGGGAGCCCAGAACTCCAGAGGTGGCCTCACTGGGGCAGAGGAAAGGGGAGAAGAACCTCCCTGGACTTGCTGGCCACACTTCTCCATGCCCCCAGGAGACCATTGGCCTTGGCCACCAGGGCCCTGGGCTGGCTCACAGTCAGTGCTGGGCCCATCTCTGGAGCAACTCAGTCTGAACGCAGCATCTTTGGATCCCAGCTGGAGCTGCCTGGGCTGGAACAGGAGGGAATGCTGCAGGGGACATGCCTGGGGCATGGCAGGACAGGGTGGGACAGCACAGCTTCCTTCACCACGCCCTCTGAAGTGGGCAGAAGACGTGGGAACCATTTTAGCCCAGTCAGGTCACCTTCTGGATCAGCTCTTTCCATCTCTCCAGGCAGCTGAGCAAGACCTTAAACCACCTCAGTGCCAAAAATCCTTTGATCACGTGAAAGAATGATGGTGGCTTTCACACAGGCACACCTCTGAGATGTCTCCTGGCTTTCACACTCTTGGATGGATCATCAGTGATGCTTCTGTGGTGGGCACAGGCTTCCACCCCCTGGAAGCTCCGAGCCACGGTGCCCTGAGCTGGATCTGCTCCCTGTGGTGGTTTCTCAAAACACCAGCCGTGAGGAGAACGTTGTGTTTTTAACCAGAGGTTTCTCCTCCTCTCCTCTTTTCCTGCAGGATGTGTTTGGTGATGACTCTGAGGTATCCAAGGAATCTTCTGGGGTCAAGAAGCGGCGCATCCCACGGTTCGAGGAGGTGGAGGATGAGCCTGAGGTCATTCCAGGCCCGCCCTCAGAGAGCCCTGGGATGTTGACCAAGCTACAGGTCAGTCTAATTAAACCATTTTAAATGAGATCTGCCCCAAAGTGACCTGCCAGTGCCTGAGGTCTTGAGTCCCAGCGTGGTTCAGTGTTTATCTTGATTCCTGTCCAAGCTGAGCAAGCGAACGGCGAGTGGCTTTTGAGTGTCCTGTTTGCTGCAGTCATTGCCTGTGTCCTTCCACTGCTGCTGGGGTGTTAGTGTGAAGCCTTTGAGAGGGGAAAGTTTGGATGTTCTCTTAGAATTATGGAATTTGTCTGGTTGGAAGAGAGCTCTGAGATCCTCAAGTTCCCCCAGCACGGGCAGGTCCCCCCTGAGCCGTGTCCCTCACCCCACATCTCCATGGCTTGGGGACTCCACCACTGCCCTGGGCCGCCTGGCACAGCCCTGGGCAACCCTCCAGGGCAAGAAATTGTTCCTCAGGGACAACCTCAACCTCCCCTGGGGCAACTTGAGGCTGGTTCCTCTTGTCCTGTCCCTTGGGAGCAGAGCCCGACGCCCCCCTGGCTCCAGGCTCCTGTCAGGAGGTGTCAGAGCCAGAAGGTCTCCCCTGAGCCTCCTTTACTCCAGGCTCAGCACCCCCAGCTCCCTCAGCTGCTCCTCCCCACACTTGGCCTCTAGACCCTTCCCCAGCAGCTCCATTGCCCTTCTCTGCCCACACTCCAGCTCTTAACCCAAGCTGGAGGAAATGCTCCTGGCAGAGAGCACCTGCCCTGGACGATCCCTTCTCTAAAGCTGGAGATTGTTCACCAGGAGCACTTTGCTCCACTTCTCCCTGAGCTGACTCACTGTGTTTGCAGCCCTAACAAGGTGCTTCTCCCCTTCTGACATGGAATTAAACTTCACCCTCCAATTTCCTTTCCCCAGATCAAACAGATGATGGAAGCAGCCACCCGGCAGATCGAAGAGAGGAAAAAGCAGTTGAGTTTCATCAATCCCCCCACACCACAGGTACCTGCTGCCAAGAGTGGGCAAATCTTCTGCTCCTCATTTCAACCAGGACATCTTCACCCTAGATATGTTGGAAGGGGTGTGTAACAAACCCTCCTTCTCTTTCAACAGCCCAAAATTTCTTCTTCATCCCAATCGGAACGTCTCCCCATCGGCAACACCATCCAGCCCTCTCAGGCAGCCACCTTCATGAACGATGCCATTGAGAAGGCCAGGAAAGCTGCAGAGCTGCAGGCCAGGATCCAGGCTCAGCTGGCCCTCAAACCAGGGCTCATTGGCAACGCCAACATGGTGGGACTGGCCAACCTGCACGCCATGGGCATCGCGCCGCCGTGAGTGCCCCCCGAGGAGCTGACTGCTCCCAGACTGCTCTGGGTGGGGAGGGACCTTTAAAAGTGCTCTAGGGCAACCCCCCTGCAGGGAGCAGAGACAGCCCCAACCAGAGCAGGTTGGGGAACCAGGTTCTGAGGTGCTCAGAACCCTCATCTCACCTGGGATGGTGCCAGGGATGGGGCAGCGACCACCTCTCTGGGCAACCA